TACTCTGCCCTACAGGGTCACTATGAGTTGGAATCAACTTGACGGCAATGAGTTTGGTTTTTGGTTTTGCCTGGTTTAGGTATCAGGGTTATTTTGGCTTCATAGAGTTTGGTAGTGTTCCTTCCTCTTCTGTGTTTTTGAAGAGATTGAGTAAGATTCGTGCCAACTCTTCTCTGAATGTTTTATAGAATTCTCCAGTGTAGCCATGTGGTCATAGGCTCTTTTTGTTGTTGGTAAAGAATTCTTGGTTGGCAGTTGTTTTTGTTCAATATTTTATATATGTCTCCGCATTGTCTTCTGGGCTCTGACGTTTCTGGGGAGAAATCCTCACTGATTCTTATGAAAGATCTTTGGTATGTTATATTGCATTTTTCTCTTGCTGCTTTCAGAATTCTCACCTTGTCTTTTGTTTTCAAGAATTTTATTAGGATATGGCATGGAGTTGATCTTTTTGTGTTTCTTCTAATTGGAGTTCATATGGCTTCCTATATTTGCAGACTTGGTTCTCTCTTCAGGTCTGGAAAATTCTCTCTGATTATCTCTGGAAAATAGTTTCTATGCCATTACTGTTGTCATGGTGCTCTGGGATCCCAGTGATTCCAATGTTAGATTTCTTAATTGAATCCTGTATTTCCTTTTGGGTTTGTTTGCTTTTCTTCTTTTCTCTTGAGACTTGATAAGTTCAGTTATTTTGTCTTCTAGTTCATTTATCCTATCTTCTGTCCATTCAACTGTTGTTGAGTGTTTCTCTTGCTTTTTCTAATTCAACTGTTTTGTCAGTTGTGGTAGTTCTTTTTTTGTTGTTTTCAGTTTCCTTGTTGAGTCTCTCATGGTGTGACTTCATTTGTTTCCTAATCTCTGCTAGTGTGTTTTCTGTGTGCTTTTTGCTTTATTTAAACATAATTAGCACAATAGTCTTAGAATTTTCAATTCTTTCCATTAATCTGGCCTCCATAGAAGAAATTGCCTCGTCTTCATGTTTTGCTTTTGATTGGTCCTTCTTCTCTTGTGATTTTGTGTTTTCCTATTTTTTGTTGACCTTGGGCCATTTTATTATCTTTTTTGTTGTTGTTATTTTTACCTTAAATTTTGTTTTCTACTTTCTGTGGGAAAATTTTCTGATTGGGTGCCCTGGTGGCAGAGCAGCCAAGCGCCCAGCTGCCACTTGAAAGGCCAGCCGCTCCGTGGGAAAAAGATGTGGCAGCCTACCTCCACAAAGATTCACAGCCTTGGGAATCCACGGAGCAGTGCCAGTCTGCCCCACAGCGTTGCTGAGTCAGAATGGGCCCAGCGGCAGTAAGCTTGATATCTTCTCCTGAGAGCCACTAGAGGGCACTCTTATTAATAGGTTTTATTCAGTGCTGATTCAGTTCTGCAGGCTTGATCTCTGGAATTCAGTATGCATGTTCAGGCATGGGAGAGGTTGTTTAGCTGGTCACAGATACTAACATAAGCAGTGGGGCTCGACTTCCCTGAGGTGAAGGTGGGGGCTCTGTATGTCTTTCCCTCACAGGTGCCCCTGCACAGGCTCTTCCAAGGTGTCCTGCTGTGATAAGGGAGCCAGCCATTTCCCTCTGTGTTGCCCATCTATCCCTAGTATTCCCTTGCCCTTGCAGTTCCTCCCAGTCCTAGTGACTGTCTCGGGCCTCAGTGAGATTCAGTAATGCCACAATCTCCCTTCACCCCTTCCCAATTGCACAGCCTGTGAACTCCCAAGGCCAACCTGTGCCTCTGTAAAAATTCGGGCTACAGCTTCCTCAGATTAGCTCCCTTTATGTGTTCCTTGTTTGGGATGTTGCCCAGCCCTGTCCCAAACTGAGTGCTGCAGATGTTAGCAGGTAGGATCTCCCGGCTTCTGTGCCATCTCTGCTTCTCCCCTCCCCTGCTTCTGGACTCACCTTGACTCTCCAACACTTCAGCTGCCATCTGGAGTTCTGAGTTTCAGTCTGGGCTTGTTTTTATTTGTTGTTCAGGGGGTTAGTTGTTGAGTGAGTAAATGGGAGTGTCCACTTACTTCACCATCTTGCTTCGCTTCTCTAGTTAGAGTATTTCTTGGGTGGCTCCTTGTTATCCTTGTTAAAATTTCCAGGGCACCCCAAAAAACTCCAGAGACTTTGGAGTGATCTCAAGAACCAGGCCTAGGAAAATCATGCATTCATGTGTTCAGTTATTCACCTAACAAATACCAGAGTATTGTTGGTTTGAGATATACTTCTAGGCATTTAAGATATAAAATAACGAAATCTATTTCTGCTTTAAAAGATCTTATGGTATGGTGATAGAAACTGACTAATAGTAATAGAAATGTAGTAAGTGCTCTGAGAGCATGGGTAAAGGGTGACTAACTCTACCCTGGATTCAGAGAAGGATTCTCAAAGTTTTTAGCTAGGTCTTACAGGATGAGTGATAATTTATTAAATAGGAGAAAAGGAAGATGGGAGAAGATTCTAGGCAGAGATAATAGTGCTTCCAATGTACAGAAATGAGAAAGGGCCTGACTTGTCGGGGATGGGCTTCAAGCTCACTACAGTGACAAGCACAGTATGGATGTTGTCGAAGGGATGGGGGAAGATGCTGAGTCTCAGTAAAGGGAATTTGTATGTATATGGGAAGGGTCTTAATTATTACATTATAGAGCTTGGGCTTAATAGTTTGAGCAACGTGTAAACAGTAGGTAAGCATGAGTGTGACATAGCTCTATGGTTTAGATATGTGGCTGATGTGTGTAGGGTTAACTCAAAGGATAGAGAGACTTATAAAGCAAGGAGCTAAGTAACCAGGTTGTAACAGTAGTCCCGGTGAGAGTGAGTGAGATTCTGAATTAAGGAAACAGAAGTTAAGGATGGAGAAGAGGGATTAGAGAAATAATTACGAGGTAGAATTCATAGAAATGGCCAATAAATTTTGTGTAGGAGGTGAAGATGACCGACATTTCTATTGCAGTTAATGATACATAGGAAACATAGGGTGAGGGTGAGATTTGGGGACTGAGAACAGAAAATGGTGAGCTAGAATTTATATGTCATATGATGTCTATGTGATATTGTTCAAGAGGAAATGTCCAGGTCTGTAACTCAAGAGAAAATTCAAAATTGTAGATACAGAGCTAACTATTCTTCGTGGTAGGCCAGTGAAGACACTAGAGAAAAAACTGGACCTGTAGTGGAAACAAGGAAGTTATAAATAATAAAAAGCTGACAAAATGTCAGGTCCTGGTTGTCTTCAACGTTTGACCAGCACTGCTGAACTGCTCATTCCTGGATTTATTCTTTCTTTTCTTGCCACCCGTGTATTAGTTTCTTATTGCTGCTTCAACAAATTACCACGCAATTGATGACTTAAAACAACACAAATTTATTTTCTAGATGTCGGTAGTTAGAAATAAGTCTTACTGGGCTAAGATCAAAGTTTTGGCAGGGCTGTATTCCTTACTGGAGGCTCCATTTAAGGGAGAATCAGTTTCCCTGGCTTTGCCAGCTTCTAAAGACCACTTGCATTCCTTGATTTGTGATCTTCTTTCATCTTCAAAGTCAGCGATAGCTGGTCAAGTTTTTCTCACATCACATTGCTCTGACCCTGACTCTCTTCTGCCTCCTTCTTTTTAGAACAACCTCGTGATTATATTGGGCCAATCCAGATAATCCAAGATAATCTACCGATCTCAAGGTCAACTGATTAGCAGCCTTAATTCCCCTTTGCCTTGTAACCTAACAAATGTTCACAGATTCTGGAGATTAGGAAATGAGTGTTTTGGGGGGGCCCACCATTCTGCCTGCCACACCCTGTTTTTTCTATTTTCTTACACATCAAGGTAAAGGAAGAAATATTTTTCTCTTAATAGAGGTAGCTTCTTTATTTACTGGACACAGTAGCAGAAAAACCACAAAATGGCTCCATAAGTGATATGCAGAGAAGAGAATTTGTGTTGCTGCTATTGAAGTGAGGTGGGGATCAGGTTACATGGAATTTGGTGGCCTTTCAAACTCTCTTGGTAATAGAAATGGAGAGGAATTGCATAAGGATTATTCATTATCTTACATTATTTTAGAGGGGATTTTGCAATAAATATGTTTCTTATCATTATTCCTCATATTATTTCATCGTCTGGTGGAACTCACTTTTTTCTGCTTATTTGGGGAAAGTCTTATAATATTGAATCTTGGTATCACCAAAATGCATGCTGTATGTAATTTTTTTTTCTTTTCTTTTTACAGCGTTTCCTTGCGTGAACTCTGTGAAAATGAAGATGACAACGTGGTCTTAGCATTTGAACAACTGAGTGCAGACTTTTTTGAAAAATTTAACAAAATCTAAAACAAGATCTCCTCCAAACTACTTAAAATATTGCCACGGGTGTTTTTAAAGTCATATTTTATGATTATCAGGGCTTTGCCAGAAATACATATTTGGGGCTCTATGACATGAAAAGAGCAAGCATTTTGAAGTCAGAGCTATGATCAGACTGGCCATGTTCTATCATGTGTACCCTTGGACAAACTATTGAATACCTCTGAGTCTCCGTGTCTTTATATAATTGACTAATAATGCTTACTTTCCAGGTAGCTTGAGGATTGATTAAGAAAAATGCATGGAAAAAAACTTGCATAGAATAATAGATCAATAAATGGTAGTTTTGTTATATTTTTAGTACTTTGAAGTTATTTATAGTTGAATTTTAATTTCCAAATTTAACATTTTTAATTATGCCCCTACTTTATTGAGGACCCATGTTAATACAAGACAATCAGTTAAGTATATATGCATTAGTTATGGAAGAAGAAAAAAAATAACATTGAGTCTGCAAGGGACACACTGCTCTCTTTCGGAAGAAGAATCTGAGACTTGAAGTATCTTTCTAGCGTCAGTGATAGCTTTACTGTGAGTCACCCAGGTTGCCTCTTTAGACTTCTCAAAGATCATCAGCACAACTTTCTCATTCTTGGCAGTGGTTAAGGATTTGTACGTGACTGAAGAACGGTTTTCACTCTGTGAGGACTAAGCGAATACTAAATTCTTATTATTTTTCTCCTCAGTGTCATAATTTGTAAAAGGTCTCCTAAGGGTAGAATAAGTGATTAAAGTAATCTAAAGGTGAAATACATTCTTTTAATATAATCACTTAAATGTGATTCCATGATGCATGCATAGCTATCAAATATTTTTAAAATATAAAATTTTTAGTCTAAATGAGTATTTTGTTACAAATTCTGTGATGCTTTAAAGAAAACATATAGCTAATGATTTTACTTTGTTTTAATTGTATATAATATAGAACTGGGAAACTATAAAGAAAGACAATGAGTTCCATCTATTTACCACTGGTCTCTGTGTGTTAATGTAAGCGTCTGTCACGGTGTTTGCAAATACGTGTGCATTTTATATATAATAGTTGATATATAACTGTTTCCTTCCCTAGCCGAAGCCTCAGGTCACAGTTGTGGAATCTATTTTAGACTCTTAACTTGAATTGAGAGCATTTTATTTTCTTAGCAAAAGGCGTCTCTCATCTAATACACAGATGTCTTACTGAAAGAACATAATTGTATGACATTATTTATAAATAGGTTACACTGACTGAGAAAAATACTCGTATTTCATTTTGTCTGGAATAGAACTGACCCATCATTGATTTGTATCAAGCATGTGCCACATTGGGGTCTCTACTTTCTTAGGAGTAAACCCTTTTCACTATTTTGCAATAAGCACTGCAGCAACAATTTCTGAACACCAATGTATTTAGAAACCAGTGTTGTCTCTACTGCTGGTTAATGCCTACTCCGGGCAATCACAGGCAATATTAATATGTTGTCATGTGGCTTTCCACACCCTACTTGTAGTTTCATGCGTCTGATTGAGAGATGAACTGTTTTTTTTTTTTAAATAGTTTTTTTTTTGTTTCTTCTTTTTTTTTTATTGTAGGGGATGAAGGTTTACAGAGCAAACTAGTTTCTCATTAAACAAATAATACACATATTGTTTTATGACATTGGTTGCCAACCCCATGACATGTCAAAACTCTCCCCTTCTCAACCTTAGGTTCCCCATTACCAGCTTTCCTGTCCCCTCCTGCCTTCTCATCCTTGCCCCTGGGCTGGTGTGCCCATTTAATCTTGTTTTGTTTTATGGGCCTGTCTAATCTTTGGCTGAAGAGTGAACCTCAGGAGTGACTTCATCACTGAGCTATAAAGGTGTCCAGAGGTCATACTCTCGGGTTTTCTCCAGTCTTTGTCAGACCAGTAAGTCTGGTCTTTTTTGTGTTTGTTTTCTGAGTTAGAATTTTTTCTATATTTTCCTCTGGCTGTGTCCAGAACCCTCTATTGTGAGCCCGGTCAGACTAGTTGGTGGTGTAACCGGGCACCATCTAATTGTGCTGGACTCAGTCTGGTGGAGGCTGTGGTAGTTGTGGTCTGTTAGTCCTTTGGACTAATATTTCCCTTGTGTCTTTGGTTTTCTTTTTCTCTCTTGCTCCAGACGAGGTGAGATCAGTGGATTATCTTAGATGGCTGCTCACAGGCTTTTAAGACCCCAGACGCTACTCACCAAAGTAGAATGTAGAATGTTTTCTTTAGAAACTATGTTATACCAGTTGAGCTAGATGTTCCCTGAGACCATGGTCCCCACAGCCCTCAGCACTCTGGGAGTTTGGATGTGTCTGTGGAGCTTCCATGACCTTGCCTTGGGCACGTCGTACTGGCTTCCCTAGTATTGCGTACTCTCTTACACTTCACCAAAGTTACCACTGATATATTGTCTATTTTATGTTTCCCCCCTCCACTCATAACTATTAAAGATTGTTTCTTTTTGTGTGTAAATGTTTTCATGAGTTTTTATAATGGTAGTCTCATACAATATTCATCCTTTTGTGATTGACTTATTTCACTCAGCATAATACCCTCCAGATTCATCCATGTTGTGAGATACTTCACAGATTCATCATTGTTCCTTGTCTTTGCCTAGTATTCCATTGTGTGTATGTACCGTAGTTTGTTAATCCGTTCATCTGTTGATGGGCACCTACATTGTTTCCATCTTTTCACTGTTGTGAACAATGCTGCAATGAACATGACTGTGCATATGTCTATTCATGTGATGGCCCTTATTTCTATAGGATATATTCCTAGGAGTGGGATTGCTGGATTGTGTGATATTTCTATTTCTAGCTTTTTAAGGAAGTGCCATATCACCTTCCAAAACGGTTCTACCATTTTGCATACCCATCAGCAATGCATAGGAGTTCCTAACTCCCCTCAGCCTCTCCAACATTTGTTATTTTCTGTTTTTTTGTTTTTTTTTAATTTGTGGCAGTAATGTCGGGTGAGATGGTATGTCATTGTGGTTTTGATTTTCATTTCTCTAATGCAAGTATTTTCTCATGTATCTATTAGCAACTTGAATATCTTCTTTGTTCATATCCTTTGCCCATTTTTTAATTGGATTACTTGTCTTTTTGTTGTAGAAGTGTTGGATTTTCCTGTAGATTTTAGAGATTAGAACTTTGTCGGATTTGTCAAAGCCAATTTTTTTCCCAGTCTGTAGGTTCTCTTTTTACTCTTTTGGTGAAGTCTTTTGATGAGCATAAGTGTTTAATTTTTAAAAGATCCCACTTATCTAGCTTATCTTTTGGTGTTTCTGTATTGTTACTTATTATTTGTATCCCGTTAATGCCGTGTATTAGGGCTTCTACTGTTGATCCTATTTTTTCTTCTATGATCTTTAGAGTTTTGGGTTTTATATTTAGGTCTTTGATCCATTTTGAATTAGTTTTTGTGTATGGTGTGAGGTATGGGTCCAGTTTCATTATTTTGCAGATGGACATCCAGTCTTGCCAGCACCATTTGTTAAAAACACTGTCTTTTCCCCATTTGATGGACTTTGGTCCTTTGTCAAAAATCAGGTGACCATAGGTAGATAGATTTACATCTGGGTTCTCAATTCTGTTCCATTGGTCAGTGTGTCTGCTGTTGTATCAGTACAAGGCTGTTTTGACTACCATAGCTGTATAGTACCTTCTGAGGTCAGGTAGTGTGAGTCCTCCTACTTTCTTTTTCTTCTTCAATAGTGCTTTACTTATCTGAGGCCTCTTCCTTTTCCATATAAAGTTAATGATTAGTTTTTCCATCTCTTTAAAGAATACTGTTGGTATTTGGATCAGTATTGCATTGTATTTGTAGATTGCTTTGGGTAGAACTGACATTTTCACAATGTAATTCTTCCTATCCATGAGCATGGTATGTTTTTCCATTTATGTAGGTCTCTTTTGGTTTCTTGCAGTAGTGTTTTGCAGTTTTCTTTGTATAGGTCTTTTCTATCCCTAGTTATACGTATTCCTAAATATTTTATTTCTTTTAGGGGTTATTATAAATGATGGGAAACCCTGGTGACGTAGTGGTTAAGAGTTTGACTGCTAACCAAAGGGTCAGCAGTTCAAATCCATCAGGTGCTCCTTGGAAACCCTATGGGGCAGTTCTACTCTGTCCTATAGGGTTGCTATGAGTTGGAATCAACTAGATGGCAACAGGTTTGTTTGTTTTTTAATTATAAATGGTATTGTTTTCCTTTTTGTAGATCTCTTTATTGGTGTATAGAAGTCCAACTGATTTTTGTATGTTTATCTTGTATCCTGCTGCTCTGCTGAATCTTTCTTTTAGTTCTAGTAGTTTTCTCGTGGAGTCTTTTGGGTTTTTTATGTATTGTATTATCTAATCAGCAAATAGAGACAGCTATATTAAGTGTTTTATTTTTTGTTTTGTTTTGTTTTTTTCCACTCGATTGAGTCAATCTGGCTTCCTGATATTAGAGAGGAGAATAAGACTATTTATTGCGATCTGTTATCTTCTTAAAAGAGGGGAGTTATTCCTAACCTCGCTGAGGAACCGCTAAAGGGCAGGCCCCCTTCTGATTATAGCGAGTATGTCAAAGACTAACCTGGAGCAATTTAGGAAGAATGAGTTTACATAGGAACTCTGAAAACATTGATATATTGAAGAAACAACAACAAAACTTTATTTGGAAGCCTCTGGGTGGTGCAAATGGTTAAGTTCTTGACTACTAACCAAAATATCGATTGTTTTAATGCACTCAGAGGCACCTTGGAAGAAAGGCCTGGTGATCTACTTCCTAAAGGTCACATCCTTGAAAACCCTATTGAGTGCAGTTCTACTCTGCACACATGGGGTCGCCAAGAGTTGGAATTGACTCAGTGGCACCTGGCTTGTTTTTCTTGGTTTAAGCTTTATTTACTTCGATAAAATGGCAATAATAATAGCACACACCTCATGGGATTTTTGTGGTAATTAAATGCGATGATGCATGTCAAGGGCTAGCATGCTGCCTAGCTCATAAAAAAAGCTCAGTAAAAGCTATTATAACAAGGCCTAATTTTTTCCTGTTAGCAAATGTGTTCTGGTTCTGCGTAGGCCCAGTACAGTACCTAATACTAGTGAGAACTGACGTAAAATAAATTCATGACTTAATAATGAGCTAAGTTCCAGGTTGTTCAGTTTTCTTTCTCAATATCGTCATCATTAAAAAACACACTATTTCCAATCAAAGGAAGAAAATCTGACAGAAGTGAGAAATGTTTTCCACCTCCTTTTTAAAAGAACTTGATTTTCCAGCTTCTAATAAGAAACTCTTTGCTCTTCTGGGCTCTTTCCATTGTGGACAAGCCACCCCTACCCTTTCTTTTCTTTGAAGAGAAAACTGGTTTCCACTTTTCTCCATTTATTACCCAATTCCACTCTGGAGTTCTCACCACCACCTAGAATTCCAAGATACTGTGCATATGCACAACAGTAGGGAATTAAGTGCCTGGGACAGTAAAAAGGAAAGATAAGCTGGCCCTGAAACCCTAATTGCAAACATTAACACGTACACGACAAAAAATAAAGAGCATGTTTTTTCTCAATTTAAATTATTTGTGTTGTATTATTGGTGTTACAAATGTTCACACTGGACAGCAACACTAAAGTTTTTCATAAACGTGAACTTCTTAAAATAGAAACTCAAAGACCATGTCCTATTTTATCCCACTTATACATGCCCAGCATTGGAAGAGGGAAAGGAAAATTCCACCACTTACTGTGCAATTTCAGATTCCACGGTATCCTGTGTAATTCCTCCACCTCTACATTTTCTTAGTTACATTTTATTTAGATTCCTCCCAGATTTCCTGTGTTCATTCCTGTTATCGCCTCTGCTATCTGTGGTTGTTAACGCCATAGAGTGCATTTGACTCACCGCACCCCATGTGTGCAGAGTAGAACTGCTCCACAGGGCTTTCAAGGCTGTGACCATTAGGACGCAGATTGACAGGCCTGTGTTCCTAGGCACTTGTGGGCTGTTCCCGTGGGCTGTTCCATCTGCCTACCTTTTGGGTAGTAGTCCAGTGCTTAACTGTTTGCCACCCAGGGCTCCCGCCTCCGCTATTCCAAAACCAAACCAAGCCCATTGCAGTCAAGTTGATTCCAACTCATAGCTACCCTATAGGACAGAGTGGGATTGTCCCATAGGGTTTCAAGGAGCAGCTGGTGGATTCGAACTGCTGACCTTTTGGTTAGCAGCCCAACTCTTAACCACTGCACCACCA